GTACAACCTCCAGACACCTACTCTCACCAGTAGACCATGGAGGCGGTACGACCTCCAGACACCTACTCTCACCAGTAGACCATGGAGGCGGTACAACCTCCAGACACCTACTCTCACCAGTAGACCATGGAGGCGGTACGACCTCCAGACACATACTCTCACCAGTAGACCATGGAGGCGGTACGACCTCCAGACACCTACTCTCACCAGTAGACCATGGAGGCGGTACGACCTCCAGACACATACTCTCACCAGTAGACCATGGAGGCGGTACGACCTCCGGACACACTCTTTATCCAGTAGACCATAAAGGTGGTACGACCTCCAGACACCTACTCTCACCAGTAGACCATGGAGGCGGTACAACCTCCAGACACCTACTCTCACCAGTAGACCATGGAGGTGGTACGACCTCCAGACACATACTCTCTCACCAGTAGACCATGGAGGCGGTACGACCTCCAGACACACTCTATATCCAGTAGACCATGGAGGCGATACGACCTCCAGACACATACTCTAGCCTGTAGTCCACGGAGTCTTTACGGCCTCCAAGCACATACTTTAGCCAGATAACCACGGAGGTGGTACGACCTCCAGACACATACTCTAGCCTGTAGTCCACGGAGTCTTTACGACCTCCAAGCACATACTTTAGCCAGAAAACCACGGAGGCGGTACGACCTCCAGACACATACTCTAGCCAGTAGACCATGGAGTCTTTACGACCTCCAAGCACATACTTTAGCCAGATAACCACGGAGGCGGTACGACCTCCAGACACATACTCTAGCCAGAAAACCACGGAGGCGGTACGACCTCCAAGCACATACTCTAGCCAGAAAACCACGGAGGCGGTATGACCTCCAAGCACATACTCTAGCCAGAAAACCACGGAGGCGGTACAACCTCCAGACACACACTCTCACCAGTAAACCATGGAGGCGGTACGACCTCCAGATACATACTCTCACCAGTAGACCATGGAGGTGGTACGACCTCCAGACACACTCTTTATCCAGTAGACCATGGAGGCGGTACGACCTCCAGACACCTACTCTCACCAGTAGACCATGGAGGTGGTACGACCTCCAGACACATACTCTCACCAGTAGACCATGGAGGCGGTACGACCTCCAGACACACTCTATATCCAGTAGACCATGGAGGCGATACGACCTCCAGACACATACTCTAGCCTGTAGTCCACGGAGTCTTTACGGCCTCCAAGCACATACTTTAGCCAGATAACCACGGAGGTGGTACGACCTCCAGACACCTACTCTCACCAGTAGACCATGGAGGCGGTACGACCTCCAGACACATACTCTCACCAGTAGACCATGGAGGTGTTACGACCTCCAGACACATACCCTCACCAGTAGACCATGGAGGCGGTACGACCTCCAGACACACACTCTCACCAGTAGACCATGGAGGCGGTACAACCTCCAGACACACACTCTCACCAGTAGACCATGGAGGCGGTACGACCTCCAGATACATACTCTCACCAGTAGACCATGGAGGTGGTACGACCTCCAGACACATACTCTCACCAGTAGACCATGGAGGCGGTACGACCTCCGGACACACTCTTTATCCAGTAGACCATAAAGGTGGTACGACCTCCAGACACCTACTCTCACCAGTAGACCATGGAGGCGGTACAACCTCCAGACACCTACTCTCACCAGTAGACCATGGAGGTGGTACGACCTCCAGACACATACTCTCACCAGTAGACCATGGAGGCGGTACGACCTCCAGACACACTCTATATCCAGTAGACCATGGAGGCGATACGACCTCCAGACACATACTCTAGCCTGTAGTCCACGGAGTCTTTACGGCCTCCAAGCACATACTTTAGCCAGATAACCACGGAGGTGGTACGACCTCCAGACACATACTCTAGCCTGTAGTCCACGGAGTCTTTACGACCTCCAAGCACATACTTTAGCCAGAAAACCACGGAGGCGGTACGACCTCCAGACACATACTCTAGCCAGTAGACCATGGAGTCTTTACGACCTCCAAGCACATACTTTAGCCAGATAACCACGGAGGCGGTACGACCTCCAGACACATACTCTAGCCAGAAAACCACGGAGGCGGTACGACCTCCAAGCACATACTCTAGCCAGAAAACCACGGAGGCGGTATGACCTCCAAGCACATACTCTAGCCAGAAAACCACGGAGGCGGTACAACCTCCAGACACACACTCTCACCAGTAAACCATGGAGGCGGTACGACCTCCAGATACATACTCTCACCAGTAGACCATGGAGGTGGTACGACCTCCAGACACATACTCTCACCAGTAGACCATGGAGGCGGTACAACCTCCAGACACCTACTCTCACCAGTAGACCATGGAGGTGGTACGACCTCCAGACACATACTCTCACCAGTAGACCATGGAGGCGGTACGACCTCCAGACACACTCTATATCCAGTAGACCATGGAGGCGATACGACCTCCAGACACATACTCTAGCCTGTAGTCCACGGAGTCTTTACGGCCTCCAAGCACATACTTTAGCCAGATAACCACGGAGGTGGTACGACCTCCAGACACATACTCTAGCCTGTAGTCCACGGAGTCTTTACGACCTCCAAGCACATACTTTAGCCAGAAAACCACGGAGGCGGTACGACCTCCAGACACATACTCTAGCCAGTAGACCATGGAGTCTTTACGACCTCCAAGCACATACTTTAGCCAGAAAACCACGGAGGCGGTACGACCTCCAGACACATACTCTAGCCAGTAGTCCACGGAGTCTTTACGACCTCCAAGCACATACTCTAGCCAGAAAACCACGGAGGCGGTACGACCTCCAAGCACATACTCTAGCCAGAAAACCACGGAGGCGGTACGACCTCCAGACACATACTCTAGCCAGAAAACCACGGAGGCGGTACGACCTCCAAGCACATACTCTAGCCAGAAAACCACGGAGGCGGTACGACCTCCAAGCACATACTCTAGCCAGAAAACCACGGAGGCGGTATGACCTCCAAGCACATACTCTAGCCAGAAAACCACGGAGGCGGTATGACCTCCAAGCACATACTCTAGCCAGAAAACCACGGAGGCGGTATGACCTCCAAGCACATACTCTAGCACACACACACATATGTGACTTAAACTAGTGGTGTTCGATTTAGAATCCATACGTTTATAGTGCTGTCAATTTGCAGCTGTGTTGCATGCTATAAGTTGTTGCAGCAAGTCTCACTGTGAGAACGCACTTGAATGAGTGAGTGAGTTTAGTTTTACGCCGCACTCAGCAATATTCCAGCTATATGGCGGCGGTCTGTAAATAATCGAGTTTGGACCAGACAACCCAGTGATCAACAGCACGAGCATCGATCTGCGCACAAACCGAAACATGAGTTTCATTAACCTATTCAGACAATGACCTACTTTTCAGCCGATCCGAATTTTCTCGTGTGAAAGTGAAAATAGACATCACAGACAACTATGGTTACATTGAATTCCAATTCCTTGATTCATACGAAAATGGTATTTACAAATGAATTTTAATTGTAAACTTTAATAACATCGTATTTCTATATTTTATGGCGAGGTGTAGGCAGCATGACCTTAACTAAAACGTCACAGACTGCCCCTGTTTGATGAGGTCGTAAAATTATTCACAATGCACCTGGCTCACTGGTTACACCTGTTATGTGTTTTTGCGCTTATTCAGTGTAGTTATGTAACGTACAATGTGATTGACATAAAGTCAATTCCGTACCAGACCGCCAACCTTTTCTAGCGGCAGAGCCTCGTTTTGAGATTTCCACGATTTCCAGAGGCGTGTTCAGAACCGCGGGCGCCCGCGCGATTGCCCCCCTGCGAGCGCTCGCATCGGCCCTGAACGGACGCGAGCGCTTGGCTACAATAAACCATTCGTGACCTACTCGTGTTGTTCCGGGACAAGCTGAATAGCTTCTTTATTATATTCTTAAGGGTGAAATACTGTAAATATTGGTGAAAATAAAAATGGTATTGTCATTTTCACTGAGTAGAATATCACTTTTGTCTAGAACTACGAAACGCGAACTACGAAATCGATGTCTCGATCAGTTATAAACAATGATCAAAATAAAATAAATGGAATATTTTGTTCATGTTGTCAATGGTTACGCAACTTGTGAACATATCAACTTTTTCAGACCACTCGATGACATATACATGTTATTTGACAACATTAACAAAATATCCTCCATGTCTTCTTTTTGGAGGTTACGGAATGGGGCGAGTGGTAACGAATGACATTGAACATGATCGCCATCTTGGTTCGCTTGGCGAGGCAGCTGTGAGAATGGTTCGCGTGCTGACTGACTGAGTTTAGTTTTACGCCGCTTTTAGCAATATTCCAGCAATATCACGGCGGGGGACACCAGAAATGGGCTTAACACATTGTGTCCATGTGGGGAATCGAACCCGGGTCTTCGGCGTGACGAGCCAACGCTTTAACCACTAGGCTACCCCACCGCCCCATGTGATATAATGAGACATCGTCGTCCTACCGCAACAAATATCAAGATCAAGTCAAGATTAGTTCAGTTTCCGAAGACAAAAGCGCCTCAATTTAAGACATCAACAGTAACATTGGTACCAAGTGTTTTAAACTTTCGAATGTCATAATATACGTTACAAAATTAATCAAAAACTCTTTTGTAATATTAGTATATATTTCAGTATTTATTCGGCGGCTCGCTCTCCCCGCGTTTTGATGTTGGAACGCTTGTTTAGAATTTTCGTGTTCATTGGTTTGGGGTGTCAAATTCATGAACGCAATACATCTTGCTCTCAGTGAAAGATTTGATTTCGGTGACCTCAGTTCTAAAGCGAAATACGAGTGGCGAACAGGTCAAGGATATTAAGCGAGGTAGAGTTGAAATATGTCCTGGATGGGTGAGGATGCATTTTTCGTTTTTGTATTTTTGACGGGTTTTTTTTGTTATGTTGATTGTTTTAGATGATGCAGCAGCAATCAAGTACCAACGTCGTTGTTGTTGGCGGCGTTGCTCCTGCGCAGCAAACTGATATGGTTCAGCAGAGAGAGTAAGTACTTATAGTATAGTATAATTAATGTCACATTCACCCCGTGTCTATAGCTCTCGTAATAGCGAGTGAGTGTTGGGGTGAATGAGTTGGATGAGTGAGTGAGTGAGTGAGTGAGTGAGTTGGGTTTAACGCTGATTTGGGCAATGTTTCGGTTACTAGTATATGACGACATATAAGCTTGATAAATCTTTCATCGACAAATTTCTACAATGATATTTTGCTAGGCCCCTTGACTAATTACAAACATACAGAGTGCTTATTGTGAAATCGTCAATATATATTTCATATATGTATAGATTTTTTAAACATGCTCTGTTTTCGTCTTACCACCGGGCATGTCCTACTTTGAAACTTAGCCAGTGCTGTTTATGACGTGGGATATTCACTAACCCTTAATTAATTTTGTTGTCGCTTTTCCTGAACTTAAAAACAAAATATTCTTTTGCAATAGTCAGACATCACAACAAGAATTCACAGAGTCAATAAAAGCAATGGCTAGATATATATTTAGTCTTTGACATTATGTTCCCTTGGAAGGTGTCCGGGATAGCCAAGTGGTTAAAGAGTCTGCTCGTCACGTTGAAGAGTGAGTGAGTGAGTTTAGTTTTACGCCACACTCAGCAATATTCCAGCTATATGGCGGCGGTCTGTAAATAATCGAGCCTGGACCTACAAATCAAGTGATCAACGGCATGAGCATCGATATACACAATTAGGATACGATGACAATGTGTCCACCAAGTCAGCAAGCCTGACTACCCCATCCCGTTAGTCGCGTCTTACGACAAGCATGTGTTACTGAAGATCAATTCTAACCCGGATCGTCACGGGTTTGAAACGTATGAAAATAGCTTAACGTAAACCGTGAAATACACTTAACACATGTATCGCAAATTAATTCGTAATGGGCCAGATTTCTCAATACGCGTATGTTGGTATGCTTTTATCCATATAGAAAGTGAGTTTGTTTTCTTAGCGAAATTCAAAGAATATTCCGTCAGGGACAAAACCAGAATTGAGCTTGACACACATTTCCGGTGTAACACACTAGCGGTAACATGCATCCGCTTGTTGAAAAGTGTCTGAATTTTTTCTGAATATGTAATACGTATCCCCTGTATGTCTGTATGTCTTACTTCCAAATGCCTACTCTACACATGTGAAGGTCCCCCAGGTATTTATTAGTAGACAATGAGTTGCCTGGATTTAGGATTACGATTTGTCGATCATGCCAATTATAAACTGTAAAATATGCGAACATTTGCAACATTGATGCCCAGGGAAGCTTATGTTACTGCTTTTCTTCCAGGACCGTCAACCACTGTCTTCACGGCGGTATTTCCTTATTTTTCCCACCCTGGCTATTTGTCTGGATTGGCCTGGTAAGTGAGGGTTTATCTCTCTCTCTCTCTCTCTCCCTCTCCCTCTCCCTCTCTCTCTCTCTCTCTCTCTCTCTCTCTCTCTCTCTCTCTCTCTCTCTCTCTCTCTCTCTCTCTCTCTCTCTCTCTCTCTCTCTCTCTCTCTCTCTCTCTCTCTCTCTCTCTCTCTCTCTCTCTCTCTCTCTCTCTCTCTCTCTCTCTCTCCATACACACGTGTCATTTGGGTACAGGCTACTGTGCCTTTTATACACGTGTCTTGTGGAAACAGTGTCATTTGCGCCTACAGGTCACTGTACCTTCATACACACGTGTCATTTGGGTACAGGTCATTGTGCCTACATACACTGTGTTCATACACACAGGTCATTTGCCTACACGTGTCATTGTACCTTCATTCACACACGTGTCATTTGGATACAGGCTGTGTGCCTTCATACACAGGTCATTGCGCCTACAGGTCACTGTGCCTTCATACACACGTGTCATTTGGGTACAGGCCATTGCGCCTACAGGTCACTGTACCTTCATACACACGTGTCATGTGGATACAGGCTATTGCGCCTACAGGTCACTTGCGCCTGGTCACCCTTCACGTGTCATGTGGATACAGGCTATTGCGCCTACGTGTCATGTGGATTCACAGGCGTATGTGGATACAGGCTATTGCGCCTACAGGTCACTGTGCCTTCATACACACGTGTCATTTAGGTACAGGCTTTTGCGCCTACAGGTGGCCGTGACTTCATACACACGTGTCACTTGGGTACAGGCTATTGCGCCTACAGGTCACTGTGCCTTCATACACACGTGTCATGTGGATACAGGCTATTGCGCCTACAGGTCACTGTGCCTTCATACACACGTGTCATTTGGGTACAGGGCACTGTGCCTTCATACACACGTGTCATTTGGGTACAGCTCATTGTGCCTTCATACACGTGTCATGTGGAAACAGGCCATTGCGCCTACAGGTCACTGTACCTTCGTACACACGTGTCATGTGGATTCAGGCTATTGCGCCTACAGGTCACTTTGCCTTCACACACGTGTCATGTGGATAGAGGCTATTGCGCCTACAGGTCACTGTGCCTTCATACACACGTGTCATTTAGGTACAGGCTTTTGCGCCTACAGGTGGCCGTGACTTCATACACACGTGTCATTTGGGTACAGGCTATTGCGCCTACAGGTCACTGTGCCTTCATACACACGTGTCATGTGGATACAGGCTATTGCGCCTACAGGTCACTGTGCCTTCATACACACGTGTCATTTGGGTACAGGGCACTGTGCCTTCATACACACGTGTCATTTGGGTACAGCTCATTGTGCCTTCATACACGTGTCATGTGGAAACAGGCCATTGCGCCTACAGGTCACTGTACCTTCGTACACACGTGTCATTTGGGTACAGGCTATTGCGCCTACAGGTCACTGTGCCTTCATACACGTGTCATGTGGATACAGGCTATTGTGCCTACAGGTCACTGTGCCTTCACACACGTGTCATGTGGATAGAGGCTATTGCGCCTACAGGTCACTGTGCCTTCATACACACGTGTCATTTAGGTACATGCTTTTGCGCCTACAGGTAGCCGTGACTTCATACACACGTGTCATTTGGGTACAGGCTATTGCGCCTACAGGTCACTGTGCCTTCATACACGTGTCATGTGGATACAGGCTATTGCGCCTACAGGTCACTGTGCCTTCACACACGTGTCATGTGGATACAGGCTATTGCGCCTACAGGTCACTGTGCCTTCATACACACGTGTCATTTAGGTACAGGCTTTTGCGCCTACAGGTGGCCGTGACTTCATACGCACGTGTCATTTGGGTACAGGCTATTGCGCCTACAGGTCACTGTGCCTTCATACACGTGTCATGTGGATACAGGCTATTGCGCCTACAGGTCACTGTGCCTTCATACACGTGTCATGTGGATACAGGCTATTGCGCCTACAGGTCACTGTGCCTTCATACACACGTCATTTGGGTACAGCCTATTGTGCCTAAAGGGTGACATTACACCCTATTCACGCACAACCTACCTATTTTAGTTATGTGTTATGTGGCGTCATGCTCTGCTGTTTTCAATGGACATGATATTCGAGTAACAATAAGTTTTCTTATTTTCTCTTTTCAGTGTATCTATTACGGCTACTAGACAACAGGCGTCAACATGGCAGCCGCTGGCTGTGATGGGCTAGACGTTTTGCATGATACCTGAAAGGAGTATATGTGATCACATAACACTCCTATATAACGTCTAACTACAAACTGTCACTTTAAGGCAGACAGCGTATACAGAACATCACTCTTGTCTTCAGCTGATGGCTAGAAAACTAACTGTAACAAAACAAAGGAACTGAAATCCCAACTATTTACTTTTTGTCTTTAAAACTCCATTATCTGTGCAAATGTTAGATGCCTGTATTTGCACAAGTTCTTTTTGTACGCTTCATTGCTTAATGTTGAGTCGCTGCTTGACAGAAAATACTTCTTCTGTTTTTGGTTTCAGTCCGATTACATTATTAAGTACGGTGCATTTGACTTATAGTCCGCACTCTCCATCTTGATTTCGATATGTGATCCCTAACATCAGTTAACATATATAATGGATCACCCAACATCGTGCAATGAGTAAACATGTTTGAAACAGATGAGGCTAAAAAGAAATTATGTTTATACATATTGATTTGAAACATATGTATATATGACACCAAGGCTTGCAATTCCCCATGATCTCTCCCCCGTACCACAAAGCGTTACGCATATTAACATGCCCGGGCCCCCTTTGCTCAAAGCAAGTGTAGCGTTACGATCAACGTATAACTACGACCGTTCGTTGAACTGGCCAGGGACCTTTTCACGGTTTATGCCCTCTGTGGCATTCGACAAATTAATTGAAAGAGACCGTAGCGCTAAGATCGCCGTAACTCCCAATATGACTGTCAATCGTCTTAACGCTAAGATCATTTTAGGGAACTTGGCCTAGATTTTCGAAGCTCTCTTTGCGCAAAGTTAAGATAGTCGTAAGTGCTAAGATCATTTTAGGGAACTGGGCCTAGATTTTCGAAGCTCTCTTCGCGCAAAGTTAAGATAGTCGTAAGTGCAAAGATCATTTTAGGGAACTTGACCTAGATTTTCGAAGCTCTCTTAGCGTTAAGATAGTCGTAAGTGCTAAGATCATTTTAGGGAACTGGGCCTAGATTTTCCAAGCTCTCTTAGCGCTAAGATAGTCGTAAGTGCCATTCATTAACATTAACTTAAGACTATCTTAGCGCTAAAAGAGCTTCGAAAATCTAGGCCCTGGGCCTAGATTTTCGAAGCTCTCTTAGCGTTAAGATAGTCGTAAGTGCTAAGATCATTTTAGGGAACTGCGTCCAGATTTTCGAAGCTCTCTTAGCGTTAAGATAGTCGTAAGTGCTAAGATCGTTTCACAAAGCTATCGTAGCTCTAAGATGATCGTAACTCCCATATTATAACATAGACTACCGGCAGTCGTAGCGCTACGATCGCTAGATTTTCGAAGCTCTCTTAGCGTTGAGATAGTCATAAGTCAATGTTAATGTATGGCTCTTACGACTATCTTACCGCTAAGAGTTTCGAAAATCTAGGCCCTGGGTCCCATTTCACAAAACGATCATAGCGCTAAGATGACCATAACTCCCATACAGTTCTTTCAGTGCAATTAATGTGTGTACGCCAGTTGATGTGGTTACCTGAGTTGCTGTTTGAGAGTGATTGGTTTCTCCGACGACGGAATTCTCTCATCGTAGTTAAATCCCTTAGACCAAGATCCTATCATAAAACGTGTTTTGTTTTTTTGTATAACGTATCCGAGGTCCTGAATTTTTTATAACCGTATTTGTTCAATTGTCTAGGTCACCGAAAATCACTAATCCCTACTGCATCCCGTAATCGTGCTCGGAATGTAGTCAAGCTAGAAGCCGGATTAGCGCGATTATGAGCCTTTAACAAGGAATGTTCCTGTGATCGTAGACTTCACTTAAGCGGTAAACGTCTCAGATCGGCTTGACGTTTGTCATTGTCTCCTACCTTACGTAGACATACCCTTATATAACTGAAATATTGTTTATCTATTGATCGCACTTGTCGGAATAACCCTTAACTCAGCGGAAAATGGGTACCCGGTGGGATAAGTCATGTGACTTTTAACCTTCTAGCGCCTCAGACAGCTTGGGTTATCCGGGGTAATAATAATCAGATTGTGTGTTAGCGCTTTGAGCAGGTGCCTTGTACATATTAAAGCCGCATTACAGATTCACAATTATTATAATAATAATCATGATTAACATCAATCATGTTTTATCAGTTGGTACCGTTATGTATTTTGATGGTAAGATATTTCTCTTTATCATACTGGTGTTACTCACACAGGTGTTTCAAACAATTGTTATAGTACAGGTGTATGAATATTTGTTATCGTAATGTCATCATCCTGGCAAGCAAAGATGTGTCGGTCGGTAAAACACAAATACATTAGTTTTATTATTTTTAATATTCCACAAGAATGTTTATAAGAAATAAACATGTTCTTTTACTCTCTTAACAGAGTTGTCGTCGGTTGTGTTGTTTTTAATTCACGAGTTACTTACGGACCCAATATCACATGGGAATCGGAGAACCTTTTCCTTCGTACATAATCAATGGCGCAATACCTGGAGAAATATACCTCAGCTCCTAATTCAAAATTTGGTGTGAATTAAGTATCGCAATAGAAATAACATTTTTGGAATGGATTATCATGGAAAATTCTGTTGATTTACAAAGACTTCTTTCTTGAACACAATATTCTATCCCGGTAATTTAGTTCCAAAACTGATGTTACACGTGAAGGTCCGTGTTAGAATATCCTTCAGTAATACCATGCTTGTCGTAAGAGGCGACTAACGGGATCGGGTGGTCAAGCTCGCTGACTTGGTTGACACATGTCCTCGGTTCCCAATCGATGTTCATGCCGTTGATCACTGGATTGTCTGGGCTTGCTTCGACCACAGCCCCGTTTTGTGCGGACACATCGTCATCCATTTGTGTCAAGATCGTTTAGTTACGAGTCAAAATCGGGTTTCAATCAACTTGCAGAAATAACAATAAAGAATTGGTAGGTTTCATGATTGGTGCTCGATAGGCCAAACATCGATGATTATGTTTACATTAAGTTATAATCGATTACATGCGATGGTAGTGTAGCGATCCGCAAAGCAAATGGGTGGGGTATACTGAAGTGTCCGGCCTTGTCATAATGACTGAGTGACTGAGTTTGGTTTTACGCCGCTTTTAGCAATATTCCAGCAACATCACGGCGGGGGACACCAGAAATGGGCTTCATACATTGTACCCATGTGGGGATTCGAACCCGGGTCTTCGGCGTGACGAGCCAACGCTTTAACCACTAGGCTACCCCACCGCCCCTTGTCATAATGAAGTGTACTGTGTAGCATTTCGAGTCGGGGGTCATCCCCCCCAAAAAAATTATTTTAAAAAATAATAATAATAAAGAAATGAATCTTTAATCGTCTCAAAGACACGAGGGCCTGTGGTACAGTGAGTTGAATATCCGGGTTAGAATTGGTCTATAGATTTATGCCTGTCATAAGAAGCGACTAACGGGATAGGGTGGTCATGCTCGCTGACTTGGTTGACACATGTCATGGTGCACCGACTGCGTAGATCGATGCTCATGCTGTTGATCACTGGAATGTCTGGTCCAGAGTTATATTTACAGACAGCTGCTATATAGCTGGAATAATGCTGAGTGTGGCGTTAAACAAGAAACAAATATACAAAACATGGGTTGTTAGGGAAAACGGAGAACTACGTGTAATTATATACGACAATGAACCGATGTGATTACGTGGTACTGTGTAAAATGGATAGACAACATTGTTTATAGCTACGAGTGAGTGAGTGAGTTTAGTTTTACGTCGCACTCAGCAATATTCCAGCTATATGGCGGCGGTCGGTAAATAATCGAGTCTGGACCAGACAATCCAGTGATCAACAGCATGAGCAGCGTTGTGTAATCAATGTTTTGACTTGTTGGGAACCGATGACATGTGTCAACCAAGTCAGCAAGCCTGACCACCCGATCCCGTTAGTCGCCTCAACGAGGCTACGGTGGCACACGTGTGACCAAATGATGGGGCGCTAACCCACCTAACCATAGACCCCCTGTCAGAACTAATACACATTACAGTCGCAAAACGAGTCAAATAAACAACAACATGATATAATGTTATGAAAAATGCAAACATCACTTTCCACGCTACATGTCTGGTCCGGAAGTCACCACCAAGCGCCCTCTGGTTGCCTGTGAAGGGCGATAATCCAAAGTGTATGGAAGCCCAGTACAGACAAAACTGATGTCGCACATCAACTGAACACAGGAGTCATATTGACGAAACAAGGAGAAGAAATCAAAAATGTTTAATGAATCCAGACATGTAACAAGTCAGTGTACACATCACTGTAGAGTTAACCAATTGAAGTGGCAAAAAATACGTATGGTTGAAACGATAACTTTGTGGTGGTTGAGGGTCGCGTGCTGTTGGGGGTGGCATGCTGTTGGGGGTGGGTGGAAAGGACCATGTACATAAATATGGGTAGGAGGTGGGGTTTGGGAGGTGGGGTTTGGGGGGTGGTCATCACATGCGACAAGATATACAGTGACAATGACATCACAAAAATCAACTGCAGTAGGATCATCACTCAGCCAGGATTTGAGTGAACATACAAAGACCATTTCTGGACTATATAGACAGACAGACGTATGAGGCTGATCTTGCCACCAACATATTGTCAAAATTGTCAGACAAACTCATTACACTGTTTTCTGCACTTCTTGGTAATGACGTACACCATCTATCCCAGAAAAACAAACTACTGTTTGTGCGCAGTATAGAAAATCTATGCAGCATCAGTACATCAAGTATCATAACACCTGTGGCCTTCCTACTGAACCTACTGTGCTATTTCTCCAGGGGGAGCAAGACAATAACTAGCCTCATACATGCAATGACACCTGGTGGGTCATATAGCACCATCAGAAACTGGCTGGAAGTTGGTACCCTCATCCCCAACGAGTGCCCTCAAAATACAGATATAGTGGTTGTATTTGATAACAACCGAGTAATACAGAGGAGCTGGCGAATCACGATCAATTATAAGACAAAGCAGAGTGTCATAACCAATGTGACGTACATTTCAAATCCTGTCACTAACATACAAACCAATCCCGAACTGTCACCCTACCTACATTCTCTTCCCACGGAGGTTACTTGTCATATCTTCCTACGAACCTCTGTTCTAATACGGCCATATTTCCCGGTTCTCGTAAAATCCCCTAGCGGCAAAAGATCGCAAAACGAATTATCTCCCTTCTTTCTATCCAATCAGAACACGTGTCACATCGACTTAGATTCAACTTGACTAACACAAGCAAATGTGGGGCCACAAATATCCCCCATCTGCCGGGGACTTGTGTTGATGTTACACACAAGACGTTTAATGGCTAGCTTGCCCGTTGTCAACGAGGGCGATGGAGACGCCACTGATCCGCCATAACATGACTGAGTTCTGTCTAGAAGAAACGTTTGCGCATCGCGCAGGGGAAGAGGTTTAGTTTTCTCGAAGCATACGGAAATTACCGAGGCCTTGCGAATGATCACTTTTGAAACAACGTCGCTGATTGCACAACTAAATCTGATTGCCTCCAATCACCAGTCTTGAACGCTCACACCATGAAAGGGCTGTATTAGAACAGAGTTTACGTAGGAAGATATGACAGGAGTAACCTCTGTGGGAAGAGAATGCCCTATCTATGGCTGTCATACTTTTCATGGCCGTCATACGATGCATTGTTGAAAGATTACATGGAAGCAGACAACATGATCAATCATCTGTTCGATGAATTTGTTGAATCACGACTACACACCTTAGTTGAAGCACAGATACAGACAGCGGAAGGCACCTATATGGATAAGTTAGATTCTGACACCCAATTTGTGCTTCCGCAATCAACTAAAACATCTGCTGATCCATACAGTTTTCTACCTCATAATCACCCTCAACCACCACCTAAAATGTCCCTTGGAGATCCAATCATGTGCAATCCAAACAGCTATGATAGTTTACGAACAATCCTCACCACCATTCAGGAAACGACAGCACTGGGGACAGTACGTCAATGGATAGGCCTGGTGTGTGATGGATCCCCTTACAGTCTGCTGTCCAAGATGTTAAGTACCTGGTTCATCTGTCCACGATGCCAGTCCGAAATACACACTGGGCCAGCTGCTTTTGCTAAACACTTGCAACAGGTGCACAACAGTAATCTAACAGATGCCGAACTGAAACAACATCTCATGTTCAAACATTTCCTCCTCATACCTGGCCCGGGACATATTGAACTGAATTTTAACTAAAGCTATCTTCAAACTACTATGGATACCATACATCAAGCACATTGCCCTTCTGTGCGGGTTCAGAACACCACATGCCCTTTCCTACGCCCAATCAGCAGCAAATCACCGTAAATCATGGATGTTCATCATCTACATGTATGGAACACTTGATGAGCTCCTTCTGCCATATGTACGTGCCTGTTTGAGCAGCCATAGCTCACCAAGTGCTCAACATCTAAGGAGATGGATGTCTGAAGTTAAGAACCCAAAACACAGGTTTGTATGGGATGTTCTAAGGACCTTCGTCTTCCCGATCTTTACATACCGCTCCTCTGTCAGACGCAACTCTACTAGATACATGTTGGCCTCGCGGTCTGTGGCATCCACTATATTTTATGGCTTAAACTGCAGAACATACCAGGACATAGTTTTGAAGGATGACATCCTCCGACACTCAGGTCATCAGGATATTCATGATTTCATACATGCAACCGAAGTCATCAGTGCGTCGGGACATGTCAGTAGAGGGGAGGGTGCGGATTTCATCCTCGAAGCCAGGAACCGTCGGGTGAAAATGTGGATGCCACCAGGTGTCCCAACAGAACATTCGTGGAGGAGGAGTTGCAGGAACCTGGATAAGCTTGAAAAGGTATAATGACATCAGTATCTGCACGTATGCACAATAAGACAAAAAACATAAACCAACTGAAATGTTTATTAATATAAAGCACATTTGTACACAACTGACTCTCTTCACATTCGCTCACAGTGACATGCTTGATGATTTCATGTATGATTCATGATAATGCACATGAAGGATGGCATGATGAACTAACATTTATACTTAATGGGAATGTCATGATTATGTGAAGGACAATAGAATGATTGCGGCTGTAAATGACGTTTTGATGATATGTGAACCCCCATACATGAACAATGAGCCCAATATCAACATGCATTCACACCACTTTCATACTCACACCCCACCCATTCAATCAATCGCGCATCGTTCGCACACCCATACTGCACACCACATAGTAAACAAAAGGTTTCATCTGTTTTGGATTTCTTTGTCGCGGTGTCCTGGATTACTGTAGCCCATTTTCTTTTGTGATCGGTTTCAACATCAGTTTGTGTTCCTTTCGACTCTGAATTTACTATGTGATTAGGTGGTGGAATGACTAACCTCCTTAAAGACGGGGCACCGTGTGTGATATCTGAAGGTATAACAGAATCAACTGTAACATCACTACATCATACATAATACATATATGTCCATAATCATAACGATCAGTCACCCAAGGCTGCTGCTAAACCATTGATATCCAATCAGTGTCTCAGAAACTTCAACTCCCGTCATAAAAGCTATCATTATTACTGATGTAGAGTGTCATAGCAGACGATGATTAGTGACAGCGAGTCCCATAGAGTTATGTCCCTTCCAGCACTCTTTACGGATATCCTTTAAGAATTTGTTTATTGAAAACCCATTCTGCATACATCGACAACACCGCGTGCGTCAGTTGTCGATGTACGCAGTTATGATTATAATCCATTTGTTTTCATGTGCTAATATTCCTATGTATGGAGCATGAGTTATAGTGCATTATTGTGCATTGGTGATGGAAAATATTTATTTTAATGTATCAGTGGGGTGCTGAATGTAGTGCGTATTTGACGATGGTTATAATGGGACAAATATTGTTATTACATTTTATATTATGCCTGCTCAACATAATGACGGATTTAGTTATCCCGATTTCAGTTATGAATTAGCAGCAGAAGAGGATATGTGTCTTCATAATGTTTGGTTACTAACCTCACCAGCCACCAGTTTGTTGTGAAACACACAGGTGAAAGGATTGGATAGCTGTACTTACATGTGTATTATGTTGCAATTCATTCAATGATTATGGGTATTTATAGCAATAACAATGGCCAAACATTAACTTGTGTTTTCGTATATACTCAATTCAATTAATTTCAATTCCTTAATGCACTTACTAGGAGGTAGACACATCATATTTTGGTAAATTGACGTGTTAAGTACAGCTCCACGTAAAAATCATGCAAAATCGAGAATACTGGATAAGTAAAAAATCCCGAATTTGGTTTAAAATTTCAGAATGTGATGACACCACTATATTAAACATCGTTGTGGATTTTTTCTAAAATATGTGCGCTAGTTGTCGCGATACGCTAATATTTCCCAAAGATCAATGTGAGGTTGACGAGCAACGATCTCCATTGGTTTGCATAGTAAAGTACTGTTACTTTGAAACCAGATTTTGAATAACAGCAAATGTGTGGCATAGAACAAAGTATATGTACATATAAAAGAAGCTGTAATCTAACCTTTTCCGTGATAAAAAGTACGTAAAGTTCTAATTTGTGATGAAAATGTTAATCTAAACGTGATCGACAATTCACCATTCAGTTGTCGTTCATGGCAACGTATGTTCCTCATTACCGCTAGATGGCGTGTTGTTGCTAGGGTGTTGCTAGAGAAGCCACCCCGCGAAAATGGCGGATGCGGAAGCGAATTGTCTGCTCCGCTGCAGTGTTGGCCTGACAGCAGATGGTCCTTGCGGAGTATATAGAGCATATCCCAAAGAAAACGGTTTAGAAACCCTGGGATCATGCTGTCGGGATATTTCTTCGCATCTGCGGGAGGTGAATCTATGTGGTGGTCGCCAGACGACAAGAGCCCCAGCAGCAGACAGCGAGGGAAGTTTGATTTCCTACCGAATCGGCCTTTTCAGGTATGTTTGTAGAAATGACACTGGTAAGTCATTTATGATGAGAAATAAAAATGAAAAATAAGCATTGCATATATTTATATCGACAGATCTACACTATCCGAAATCGTGTATCGCTCTATGATATCTTGTCTAACAGTAGTTCAGCAAGCTAAACGTCGTGTTCCTGCCAAGGTGTATGCCTTGGCAGGAACACGACGTTTAGCTTGCTGAACTAGTCTAACAGTTGCACCAACAGGCATCCATGTTGCGATTGAATCAGATATGGTCACATTTACGAGTAAAATTTGTAAAAATGCAACCGAATATTTCAAAACACTGAGCATCAGGCGAACTTTAATGAAAATGCAGATGTTACTGTAGTTTTTGTGATATAGTATCAGTCACATGTCGTATTTTGTCCAAATTGTAAGAACTTGACGGCTGTTCCGTTCACCTCCTTTTCAGCACAGTTACGAGAAATGTCAGTGTGTTTCCTTACATTTTGTGCTTATGACTTTGGGGGCAGCAATTTTGTATGTAGAAATATTAATATATTATGATTTAAAATTATGGGAGGGGGCATTGATTTTGTGTATGACATGTAAGTGGGGGTTGGGGTGTCACTTACTTTGTACATAAATTTTAGGGGGGTCATTCCATAAAGATCTTCATCATTACCCCTGGTGACCATATGTTATGAACAGTCCCTAAGATCACTATTTTACCTCATTTTTAGAATACATAAACCTGTTAAATCTGTAGTACAAGTTATGTTAATTAAAGCCAAAATCTAACAAACAATTTTAAGTAGACTATAATATTGGTTACGTGAGTTACCTGTGAACAACCCTTGTTGCATATGAGGGAGTAAAATAAAGTTTTGTCTTCTTTGAGTGGCATTTTAGAAGTTGCATACATGGGAATGCAACAAACCACTGATTTTATGGATAACAATTTCTTTATTGCATGTATGCAACGTTTCGATTTGGGTTCTTGTATCACTGTTAAGCAAGAATGCGAGAACTTATTAATAAAAAAACATTTTGGCTCGTGAAATTTAGAGTGTTATTAGATAATAACAATTAGGCAAATAAATCACTGAATTTTAAGCTGAATGTAAAACATGTTTATTGGCTTAGCTAGTTTTAAGTGTACATGAAGTTATCATGATTGAAAATTGAAACATAATTTGTTTCAACTGTTTAATAATTAAAGAAAAGAGTATTTTGTATCATACACTTGAATGATAGGTATGCAGAGTTGTGTAATATAATGTTACAAGTAGTATTTCTGTACTTCTTACAGGTATGATCCTTCAATGACAGTCTGTCCATATCATCGCTACAGACTTGGCATTCATTGGAGACCACCCAGGAAATGTGTTTTTCCCCTCCATCAAGGGTCACAGCTGCCGTATAAAGGGGTGTCCGTTGACATGAGTGAGACCCTAATGAACCAGATTCGAGTCCTTGTGCCTGCAGGTTCTGGTAAATATATATGTTACTTATTCTTTTGGCTGTTTTTAAGCATGATCGTTCACCATGGCACATAGTATTGCTATTATGGCTGGGAGAAATCTTGCATGGTAAAACTTGCAAGCATCAACTGGAAGTGGTGATAGTCTGGTTGTTTTCATTGCTATTAGTGGCAGCCTAAGAGACAGCTGGCAGTTCTGGCAATTGCTGATTGCGTGAATAATTGATGTAGTCTAAACGCGCGATGTAGTCTAAACTGTCAATTCCGCAAAGTTTGCACCAAGCGAAAAAAAGTATGTTTACAGTAACAGTTCACAACTGCAGATAAATTGCAGAGCCTAGAAGGAATCTAACCTGGAACCTTTTGCTCCAAAGCGAAACCACATCGCTCCTACTTTTCAATTCATTTTCCTTTAAATGCTTTGAAGCTGAATTCTCATCTATTTGAAAATCAAGATAATGTTGTCATATGTTTATTTTGTCACATTATGATATTTATTAGGGAATTCTCTTTCCATGAGATTGAATTCTTAAAGTATAGCTGCTGGTTTATTCGACTAAAAGAGTAAAATCATTGAAGTAAATGCCATTTTAATCTTGATATTTTCAGGAATCAGTGTGAAGTGTTACAATGTTTTCAACAGTACCTACAAGGAGGTTAACCAGTCATCAAGTGTAAGTTTCTTAATCAAATGCTCAACTCTTTAAGAAATATTTTCAAATTTTAGTGAAAATACATATTGAACCATGTCAAACATAATATCATAACAAATATTAATGTATGACCAAGCCCCGATTTCTCGTAACAAACTTAAGTCTGAGTTTTGAGTTTTTACTCAAATTTGAGAAAATGCATTTCCTAGATTGAACTGAAATTGATACTAAACTCAAACAGAAGAGACAATTTGGGTTTGGTGGATAGATTACTTAAGTTGTATGGGCTTTTTTTATTTTAAAAATGCAGTTGAGTTAAAAATTCAGATGTTTCAAATTGTCAGACTCAGTTTGAAATTTGAGTAAAAACTTAAGTTTGTTTCGAGAAATCGGGGCCAGGAGTATTTAAAACTGAGATATGGTTAATCATAATGGCTATTTAGAAGTTACTAGTATCTATTTATTATAATCCTCACTTTTTAAATGATTTTAGGGCCAATCTTCACAACAAATTACAGATAAAGGAGATGTGTCAACTTCATCTCCTACATATTAGTGAATATTTGTTATGTTTTAAACCTAGAACTCCTTCTCCATGCTTATTCATGTACATATTACATACATACAATGTGAAGAAGTTAAATTACAAAATTAAGGGGAAATTATGGATTTTTACAACACACAGTCTTTAATTTAGAACTAAATATATTTTCCAGAAAGAGAGTACCAACAGCCATCTACGTGCAAGTGTACTCAGAGAAGTGCAGAATAGCCCTGAATGTGATGTAAGTACCATTGGAGTATAAATGTAGTGTCACATATGCCTTGGTGGTGCTATGGAATTCATAATTATATCAATTCTGCTTTATTAACAGCTATCTGATGAATACTTGCTCGTATCATAAGCAGACCAATTTCATCCAATGTTTGATGTCTGATCCCAGTGAAATTTAAACTACCTAATACTGTAATGTGCATTTATTTTCCATCGACATTATACATGCAATGTGTTTCTCAAACTTTGAACATGCATTAACCATGTTCTGAACTGGTGCCTTGTAATATTTTATGAATTGTGAAATTCATATTTAAAATTTTTTTTTTCCATGGTTACAAGTTGGACTTAGAACATGATTTCATAAATGAATTCCATTCTCATTGAAAGATATATCCTATGATTTATGTTGAACCACCACTGTGATATGTCATCCATTGATGACTCTTGTTTTATCAAACAAATAGTATTGTAATATGAATATGTAAGACTTTCATTGTTTAATCCTGAATAACACCTGTTAATTTACATGTAACTATGCATGTATATCTTTTTTCAGAGTACTTACAGTCAAGACTCTCAACCATCACAAATCTCAAATTGAGTTACGACAAGGATTTGAGTTTGAATGATGTGAATCATACCCTAGAAACATTGACAAGAGGATCATCCAGCCCAATACGAGCAGCACTTTACAAAGAGATATTTCTTCAGTAACGAAAAGCACAGTAAACTATTACAAAGAAAAGCAAATGAGGCTGTTGATGCTGTCTTAGATATGATTGCACCAGGACAATCCAGTCAACTGAAAAAATTGATCACAGAAGATCCTCCTGATAGAACCTCTTCAGCTGACCATGACACCTTGATAGACCTATATCATCAAACTACAGACAATAATTTGAGAGCCCAAATATTGGCCACTGTATCCAATGATTTTAAAAAATCTGATCTCATGAAGAAAATTCCAGGTTTAACCATCTACAAAATTGACCAAGCAAGGTTAATGTCAAAATCTCAAAACGGAATATCTTTCCCCAACAAGTCCAAACGACGACGTCATCGAATGGACAAAGGTAAATTGCAACATGCATTGGATTTCTTTTTTTCGATCCTTGTTTCATGCAAGTTGTATCTTTTGGGACAAGAAACATAGAGTTGGACTCAGGCGAAAACATTACCATTCCTGATGTTGTTAGAACCTCATGTCATTCTCAAATAGTCAAGATGTATGAAACCTTGTGTGAGGAAACTCACTTTACACCACTTTGCCAATCCACCCTTTTTCACATTTTGCAAGCCTGTGCTGCATCTAAAAGGAAGAATCTCCATGGTTTAGACAACACTGCTGCTGAAGGAGAAGAGGGGTATAAAGCACTTCAAGATCTAGCGTGGAGACTGCACAGCTGTGGAATTATATCAGGAGATGCTTTCAAAGATATAAAAGGTCAACTTTCATCAAGTCGTATCTACATGAAAACTGATTACAAGATTCATGTTCAGGATTCAGATATGTGTTCAGACCATTGTATTACTTGGGGACTCAGTGATCCTAATGACTCAGAATTGCAGAAATCCTGTGACCATTTGCATTCTCTGCAGTGTGACAGATGTCAGATTTTGGAAGATGTTGAAGAAAAATTCTCAAACATTGTAGCAAGTATAGAGGAAGGAGAACTGCAGGAAGATTCAAGGAAATCATTATCAGATTCATTACAGCAGATCAGAAATTGGAAGGCCCACATAATGCGATCAGTGAACCAGGATACATTTCGTATTAACTGTCTTCAAAATCTCAAACAAAACCAGGCATTCTTGGTCATGGATTGGGCAATGAAATTTCTACCCTTGAAGTTCAGAGAGAAGCAAACAGACTGGTTTGGGCAGCGTGGAAAGAACTGGCATGTCACTGTCTGCATTTACCGAGATGCACAGGATACAATCTGTGTGAGTATTGATATATACATATCATATTTAAAATTAAAAGGTAAACAATTCTTAAATAAGTAAAATAATGTCTCTTTGAAAATGCAAACAATGAGGATGTATTGAAACTATGTCACTTTTAAAGTTAGGATTAATGAAATCAACATTTCATTGTAGCACAGAACCTTTACTCATGTTTTTGATGGAGGCAAGCAAGACTGGTTTAGTGTCATCTCCATAATTGAAAATGTGTTCAACACCATAAAAGATCAACTCCCACAAGTCACTGAAGTGTTCCTACGTTCTGACAATGCTGCTTGCTACCACTGTGGGCACATGTGGCTTTGTCTTCCAGAGGTTAGCAAACGCACTGGTAAGTGAAAAGTATTTTAAGAAGATAATGTACTTAAATTAATTAAAGTAGCAAATTTACCATTAATTTTCACGTCTAAAGATATTGCAGTAAATACTATCTATATATGACTATGCCAAACTGTTTTAATTCCGCAGCATTATGGATCACATTGTGTCATTGTTTTCATTGGTAAAGAACGCTTCAACAGTTGCTGTTATGTCATTACATTAAAGCAACCACCTTTGTTTCACATGTTCTGGATGATAATTAGAATCTTGCATTCATGTCTGATATCCACACTAAATGAGTTAAGAGAACCTTGTGAGCTTATAAGTTATATATAATATAATTGTATATATACAACGTTGAAAATTAAGTTGATTTATTGTATTTTCAATAGGTCTGAACGTGAAAACATACTGCTATTCGAACCCCAGGCTGGAAAGTCATACTGTGATTCAAAAATTGCCCACATGAAGAGAAAGATGAGGACATGGGTCACAGAAGGCAATGACATTGTTACAGCAAAAGACATGAAGTCAGCAATTGATGCAACAACAGGTAGTGGAAAAACCCTTCATTTGTGTAGACTTTCTACAGTGGATTGTTGTTTTGTAAATATGCCTACGTGGAAACTGAAATATTGAATAATATGTTGGTTGGCATATTTTATTTTTCACATTAAAGTTATTCTTGTTATGCATGTATATTTTGATATATCAAGTATCAGAAAAACACACTCAAATCACTCATCTTAAATGTAATTTTCAGTAGTGGTAAAATTCTGTAAAGTTTACATGACTAAATACATGGAATTGGTTTTAAAGTTTTAAAGTAAAAGCTACAAGAAATGGTATGTTTTAGTACAAACATTATTTTTGTTTCAAAACTATAGATTATAGAATTGTATTTATTTTATCATTTTAGGTGTTACAGGATGTCAAGTTGCTGTAGTAACAATGGACACTGACAAACAAATTGTCAAGCCTCACAGACTGAAACACATAAATTGTTTCAATGAAGTGGTATTCCAAAACAATGGAATACTTCTGAGAAAAAGCCTATGCCATCGGAGATGGAAAATTCATTTCAAATGATGAATTGCTAAAAGCTGGGAATGGACTCCAAATGTCTCAACAATCAGGCTGCAAGACACTTGAGGGTTTTACTTTACCCACAGTATGTGAAGGTAAAATCAGTCGTCCACAACCTACACCAACAGATCTTGATACAGTGTACTGTTGTCCAGAGCCGGGTTGTACCAACACCTTTCCCTGTTATAGGGATGCAGAAGATCACCTTGCTCTTGGCACCCACAACTGTCAACTTGTGAAGGAGTCAACGTATGACAACATAAAGCGACAGTGGGCCCGTCTCTGCAATGAAGTTGTCATTACCTACAAGGTCCGCACAACCACAGGTAGTTGCACATCACAAGCAGATGGATCAAGGCAAATGGGGTGGGCCTTGAGAAGTGCACGCAAAGGGTGTTAGGTTTAACACTAAGGTGAAGGACTTTCTTCAAGCCAAGTTCATGGAAGGTGAAAGAAACAAAAGAGTGATCCTTTGGAGGTGTCATGCATCATGAAAACATTAAGAGATGATGAAGGGAACAAGATGTTCAGCCATTCTGAGTGGTTAAGACCCAATCAAATAACGTCATTCTTTTCAAGACTTTCAAACAAGAAAACCAAAAGGAAAACTGAAGGAATAGATGATGAGGATTTGTTTGTTGTACTTTCGATGCAATTGACAATGATGTTTTGATGAATGAATTGTCAGAAAGTTAACCAGATAACTGTCAGGGCTATTGAATGTGATCAAATCTTATATGTTACACATTATATCTTTCCGTGGTAAGGGAGCCTCAGAGTAAGTCTAACAACTCCATGTCAACCCTCGCTTTCACAAGTATGACATTACTGAGTTGAGTGTAGCAGCACTTCTCACGAGTATTAGCTGCCTCAAGCTATCTACCTTATTCGATTCAAACATTTATTCATTACTTGGCTTTGGCAATATATATTTCTTTAAGTCATTTCACAAAATGAGGTGACAAAGTCCTGTTGTTAAAGAACTATTACTGGGTGACAAATGTGCAAATACAGCGGAGGATATTTGTGAACTCTTGGGTGATTATTTTGTTGATCTAGCTAAGCCTCACTGCTCTTCATCATCTGACAACTTCAAAATATCAGTTGACAGAAAGTTTACGCATAATATTAAGCCTGGAACACTTATCATGTGATGATGATGTTTTGTGTAAATGTATTACTATTGAAATAGACTATGTACAGGGGCACATCAATAATGTCAATAATAATGGTCCAGATTATCTTCACAACGAACATCTAATCTATGGCAATGATAGCATCATAAATGTAGACTTTAAATGAAAGTTTATCCTACTATTTAAGCAGAGATTCAAAGGTATATATACTGTTTTTATTCATAAGGAAAAGGCGTTGACTGCATATGGCACAATGTACTCTTTTAAAGTTATAAAGAAACAGGAACAAAAGGCAAAATGTGGCAGCTCCTATACCAAAGCTACACAAAAAGTTCTGCTTTTGTTCAATATTGGGCACAATGTGTTAAGCCCATTTCTGGTGTCCCCCTGCGTGATATTGCTGGAATATTGCCAAAAGCGTAAAACTAAACTCACTCAGTCAGTCAGTTATTCAATATTGTGGCTTAAACTCAAATGAATATACCATGCAACAGGTCATGCCACTCCTCATGTACAGTTTTATATATATGTGAGTGGCTATCTTGAAATAGTTATGAACTGTGTTAATGAAACTGAAACTGTACAATGGGATATTCAAGTCAGCGTGAGACATGTTTACCCACAATATAGAGATATCATACAAATTTGTTGACAAATCAATTCTCGAGCCAATTTTCAAAATATTGTGAACTCTGCCATATAATTCTACATTGTGAACATTATATGTACAACAGGAATCAACTCTTGTCCAAACTTATAGATATTTTTCATGTTAATGTGTCTGGGCATATAGAATTACTGCCAGAAGATGAAATGCTGTCTCTCGTTTCTTGAGGTGAAACACTGGTTACTGAACACATAGATGAAATGTCATGGAGATGTATGATTGTCCTATTTTGTAAATAACTTTATCCCATGGTATCCTCACTCTAGTGTGTATTTTAGATCCTTCCTTGCCTTTGCTCTGTACACGTGTGTACCCGCATTATGAATATCTTGTTGTGAATATTTGATGTTTATAGTATACGATCTTCAGATTGAAATAAGTACTGAGAATGTGTTATAGTTAATATACTCAGCAGCAAAAACGTCATTATGAATTGAAAATTAGAAAGGCACTATAATCAAATCATTACAGAAATGGACATGATAAGCGGATCAAAACATGTTTTGTGTACAATATCTTGACATATCAATGAATAACTCAGCACAATTTCAAGACATTATGTGAACGTTTGCAGTCCATTCAGACTCTTGACTTCAGTATCTAATCGATTGATGAAGGCCATTGGCACCTTGAACCACACTCTTAGAAAGGCCTGATGCAATAAATAGGCTGTGTTTGGCCTTGGTATGACATTATTACTAATTTCATCCCCAAGATGTTCAATTGGGTTTAAATCAGGACTAAGGGCTGGCCACTGCACAATGTTGACACCGTTCTGCTGTAAAGTAGTCCCGTGTAGTTCAGGAAGTATGGGCCGGGCATTATCATGCTGGAAAATGTGGTTCGGTGACATCGCGAAAAGTGGTATGACTGAGAGCTTTGTCGATGTAGAGCACCGCTGTGATGCCGCCTCCTCTGGACCCACTCTCTGGTTCAGGCCTATTCCACCCAATACCATGATGCTTGCACCTCCCCATGAGTCTCTTTCAATAACAATCTGAGAACAGTTCTCCATTGCCTGTATCTCCAGTTTTGGTGTTGTAGGGCAAACTGTAGACGTTCACGCCGATGGCGAGGGGTGAGGATAGGTCCATGGTAAGGTCTACAGCAATGGAGGTTCCCAATGTTAAGGCGTCAGCGTACTGTATCAGTACTGATTGGTCTTCCGTCGCAGGTTCCCACTGTCTTGTCGTCTTCCAAACTGGCGTTTCTTTTGCTGCTTAGTATATATGGCCATATGCTGTTTGTGTGAGTAGGGTAAGTGTATGAAACAATGGGTGATAGAGATTCTGTTTGACAATGATACATATAAGTTTGAATGAGTGAATGATTTGTGTGAATGGTTTTAGTTGATGTATATGTATATTTTGTTTGTCTGAGTAGGATTGGTGTGTGGAAGGTAGTATGACAGATTATGAATCGATAATATATGGAATGTATGGCAAACTGCCAGGATTTGTTTTATTTATTTAACTATTTATTTAACTTAGTAACTAAACTAACTAACTAACCAACTTACCAACCAACTAACCCACTAATACACTAACCAACTAATACACTAACCCACTAATACACTAACCAACTAACTCACTCACTCTATCGAGAATGAATGAAGCTTTGAACGGATGACAAATGTAAGAATGCCAGTATGAATGTATTATTGAGTACATGTAATACCTTATTTTTGAGTGTACATGTATTATCAAAGTGTCTCATGGCCCTATGGCGGGCATTATTTGTATGTATTTACATGCGTGACACTATGTAATAAACATTTCTTCTTCCCTCCTCCTACTCTTCTTCTTTTTCTTAAAAGTATGGTTCATACTTCAAATAAGGTGTCTGTGTTATGTTTGTGATGAGGAACATTCCATTTATGCTTTAATAAAAGTATAGAAAGCCAACACTGAAGAAGTAAGTATGTGACATCTTCACTTTCTCACTGTATTTTCCATTTTGCGAAAGGTAATCTCACATTTCCTGAAAATAATAATTTTGATGACTCAGCATAATTTACTTAACTACTTAAGAAAAAAGAACTATAACAGGATTTAGTACTTGAAAATCGGTTAGCTTTTAAGTAATTTGTTAATAATTTAGGCCCCAAAAGAATTAAATGTATACAGCATGCACAGAGGGTCTATACTTAGCATTTTTCTTCAAAACGTCCACTTCTTAGTTAGGTTGACATTGCAAATCCCTCTGCTATTTTTTGCAAATAATGTTTCTAACAGTCCTCTTAAATACTTAAATAATACTTTCTTGTGCAATATTCAATAAATAGCTGATTTATTTTGGTAAATGTACCAAATTGTTTTCTGTCAAAATTTTGAAAATATATATAAATATATTAAATTTCAACGGTTAATAAAATAAAAAATTCAAAACTTTACAAACTTTTTATGTCTTGCTTTCACAATTACACAATTGTATTAAGCAAAGTAATAGCAATTACAACATCAAACGTTTGCTGTTCTGAGATAAATGCCCTTAAAAATCATCAATTTTGAGTAATTTTGTTATAGGTTAAAATACCCGTTACCTTGACAACCGTTGCTATGGAGCGGTCCTCATCAACTCTTCAAAAATATAACTGAAGTGAAACTTGTATATGTATTCTTTCAATACAAAGTAAAAGAATTCTGACTGCACGAATAGTTTTAACAATATTGTCAACGGAAAAATAGCATTTTCGTACATTTTCACATGCTATTCTGGGTCAATTTCGTAGAATTTTAATTAGTGGCTAATTAATGAAAAATATTGATAGCAGAAAAATTTCTGAGTGACATGACATTTTACAAGGCCAAATATAGTGAATGACAAAATTTCAAGTGAATATGAAATTTTGGACTTATCCACCTGTGCATGATTCTTAGGTGGAATGCTACTTAAACATACAGCAATAGCATCATTCCATATTCCTTATTGTCAACATCATCCGATCACTATGATCACATTGATACAGCTATCTCAGACTGGTCACCTATTCCATTCATAATTTCATCACACTGCATTGATAATGGTCAGTTGGTTGGTATGAATTTCATACCTTATTCGGAAGATTTGTACAATCACAATTTCATTCCATTTATGTATCATGCATATGTTACACATATCAATATTCATGTAAAACCCACCTGATCATCAAGGTGTGAAATGAATGATTGGGCCTTCCCACCCATCTCAGGCTCAATTGTGAGGGTTATCCGGGCACCGGTTATAATGTGTATCTCTTTCGACTGCAAAACATTCATCACTGATTACTTGGTGGCCCGGGACGTATGAGTAATCATGTTACATGAAACTGACTACTTGGTGGCTAGGACGTATGAGTAATCATGTTACATGAAACTGACTACTTGGTGGCCTAGGACGTATGAGTAATCATGTTACATGTATTGCAGATGCTCGTACTGGGGACCGACCACGACGCCTACCAGTTTTCCACTGTTAATGAAGATTCATTACAGTGTGAAATTCTGGGATGGCGTCGTTGGCTTAGACGTGTTGGCCACTTCCAGCAGCCAATCGAGATCCAACCTCACAGCGGGCTCCATCCTGGGGACTTGATGGATGTCCATCTGGTACAATGTCGACAGCATTGTTATGGTGAGGTGAGGTGAGGTGAGGTGAGGTGAAATTGGGTTTAACGTCGTGCTTGAGAATATTTCGCTCATATGACGACGTGCATGCGTGTGTATGTGTATGTGCGGCTGCTTGTACTAGCCCAGACTGAAGCTGGTTTTATAGTGCTAGCCCACTGATATACCATGTCACAGTGAAGCATGAATACCCCACTCAGACACACTATACTGACTCCGAGCCGACCAGTCCTTGTTGTACCCATTAATGCCGAGTGCCAGGCAGGGACCTACAAGTACCATATTTTAACGTCTTTGGTCTGACGTATGACGCGGTCGGGGATCGAACCCGCGACCTTCCGCTCTCCGGGCGGACGCTCTAACCACTACACCACGGAGGCGGTCAGAGCATTGTTATGAGAACAGGCTGTTGTACATGTAAGTCTCTTTCATACAGTACTGTTGTTTGTGGTGGTGGATGATATATATCATTGTTCACATTGGTGTACTGTACATTATATTTATTGCAGTGAAAAGAGACATAGTGGTTTCACCGTTTTGGCACTGCCAAAGGTGATCATCACTGCAGCTGAGAGGGAGGAGTGAGAGAGTGAGTTTGGTTTTACGCCGCTTTTAGCAATATT